TTTGTTTTGAAAAGTAAAAGCAAAGCAAGAACAAAAATCAGAAACAAAGAAAGAAACAGGGCAGCATGCAACAGTACATATGTTACAGATTTTCAAACCAAGAGTAGCTGATTAACAATGGTTGACACTTTATTTTATTGTCAAATCTGTTGCTCAGATTAGCAGATAGTTATGCAAGATTGCACATATGGTTGGATATTACCACTTGCTTTCAAGAAACCTTAAATTTTTGTTCATGCCTCTTTTTTTAACCTTTTTTAAAAAGTTTGTTTTAAAGACAGTATAGTGGCTGGCCAAATAGGTCAGCGGTGACAGGATATCATGTCTGCATCTTGTACTATGAATAACCACTATGAAGACAATAATATGCATTGTATTAATTATTGAAACTGTCATACTAATCGGTTTTGAAACTGTCTCATTGCTATTTGTTTCTCAATAAAATTAATAAAAAGAAGACAAGCAAAACCAAACAGACAAACCAAATAGCTCAGTGGATTAAAGTGCATGCAAGCAGACACAGGGGCTGGGAGTTTGATCCCCGGGCCTGCTGTGCTGCCCCCCACCCCCTGCCTCTGGGGCGCGCTGAGATGGCAATTGAGACTGGGTGTGGTGGCACCCACCGGTAATCCCAGAACTTGGGAGGCTGTAAACAGGAGAATCACTACGAATCCGACCTAGTAGTAAGACCTTGAACACTTGTAGACCCTTTCCTAAAATACAGAAAATAAAATTAAAGAGTATAGTAATAATTGATATGACATTAGAAATGGTACACATTTAGAAGACCAAGATGTCAGGTATTCAAGCATGGTTTTTGTATTACACATTGCTGTCCTCGATGAAAGATTTTTTAAAAATAGGATACAAAAATATACTAGCTATAGAGAAGATAAAAATGGACAAATTGGATTAAATTATAATAATTTCAGCTTATACAAGATAACACTGAGAAAACAAAGTCTAAGGAATGGGAGAAAAATTGCAATAAAAATATTCAAAAGACAAAGAGGCTTGTGTGTACACTACATAAAGCACTTTTACCAATCCAAAGGAAAAGACAAATCAGCCACTGGAAATATGTGGATTTGACAGACTTGAGTGAACACCTGCAAAGGAGGATGTTGGTTGTCTTGGTTGGAAGTAGCAATTGAAAGGGAAGGCACACAAGGAATTTCTGGGGTCCTAGTAATAATTTTGGTTCCTTGGGCATATTTACTTTGTGAAAAGCCTTCAAATTTTGTTCTCTACATTTTTCTGTATTATGTATGTTATACTTGCATTGAGAATGTTTACATTAAAAAAGGCAATGCCTTGTCCAGGATGAAGGATGTAACCAAAATATTTTCAGAGGTTAACACTGCTACAAATAGGTCTCCTCCCTTAAAACTTTCCCTATATGGAAGCAGAAGAATTATTGAGAATGTAGGGCTTTGCAATGTAGCTAGGACAGGTCTGTTGTATGAAATAGTGATAGTATCTTTATTTTAAGGAGAAAAAAATTCAAAACAAGATACTAGAAGCATAACAATGGTTAATAAGTTGAATATTATTATCTTTAAATGAGTCACTCAGTGATAGTATCTTGAGCCAGTAAGTCTTTGCCTACCAGTGTCCTGAGATTGGAGGGGGGAACAAAAATTATCATGGAGAAGCATTAGAAACAAACTTGATTACTTTCCAATTATTTGGACAGTTAACTTGAACTGTAATTATGTTTAAACTACCAATTTTTGATCCCAATTTTCATGGGCCCAGACATTGAGATAGAACTTTCTGTGCATTAGGACTATAAAACTGTAGCTGTAATCTCATAGGAATGCACTATTATTACCTTAATATACAGAGGAACTAACTGAGGCCTATTGAGCTCAGACCTCCTGCTCACATTCCTGCTAAGATAGAGCAGTGAGCGGCAACTGGAATTCAGGTTCTTGTAGTTTGAAAGTCAAGCTTCTGGACATGTCTATTGTGCTGCCTTATATGTTTCTTTCTTGCTCCCTTGCTTCTACTTTTTAAAAATCCTGCCTCAGGTTTATTTATCCAAAGAGCACAGGAGGACACCAGCCCCCCACAGATGGCACCCCAGGGGTCACACCAGTCCTTCTGTTTTTACATTAGCAGATAGGAGGCTTTTACTGTGGAGCCTTCACGGGGTCCTGGGCATGTTTGGGGGCCTGGGCTCCTTTGGCAACCTGGGTTGGAGCAGAAGCTGGAGCCTGGGCCTTGGCTGGAGCCTGGGCCTTTGGCTGGCAAGGCCTGCGACTGTTAGCAATAAGGACACGGATACGCTTCCCAAGGTTGGGGTCAGCAATATAGGCAAGTCAAGCGAGCCTGCAGTTTACTCCCTTTGTGATGATCTTGGGCTTGACCTCATGGGCTTGACGAGGACCTTGATAACATCATGGCCTTGGCACTGTTTGCTTGCATCTTCTTGAAGTCCTTCTTGTTGTGCTTCTTGGCAAAACACATGTTCCTAAGGAACTTGGGATCTACTCTCTTCAGAGATTCGTATCTTTGTGACCGAGGTTTCTTGATGCCATTTCTGTGCCATTTTCAGTACTGGTTGTGCATGGTGTGGTTATTGGACTTGACCATAACTGCACTGTAAACCATGGCTGCCTTGCTTCTGCTTCTGTCTCTACTGCTTCCGCTTCTTGTCTCTTTGAGACAGGGTCTCTCTATATAGCCCAAGTGGGCTGTGAACTTGCAGCAATCCTCTTGCTTCTGCCTTTGAAGTGCTGGGATTACAGGTGTGCACTTCCATGCCTGGCTGCCTTCTATTTCTTGATCCAATTTTGATTGTCCTTAATGAGAAGAAAATACTTAACATGATGGATGAAATGTTCAAATTTGATAATCAAAAGGACTCAAACCAGTTGTAGAGTGTGAGGTTTGCTGTACTATAGGTTTTTGTGGCTTGACATGTTCCTTTTTTGGTAAGGAGCTAGTGGTGATGGTGGTGCTTTATGAGTCCTCTGTGTAACAACACAGACTCTGATGGGTATGCCATGTAAGGGTGACCCAAGAACCCTTATCAATGCTTTAGGGACAGTTGAACAACCTGAGTAGTTGCTTATGATGGACAGGCTTTGATTTGTTTATTAATGACACTCCAGCCTAGATTGTATTCCACTTAGCACTAATTCACATGCAGATATATATAGAATGGCTACTGCCTACTGATTGGCACATCACTGTCTGCATTATAATGCTATTCTGCTGGCTTGGATGCCAAGGGGAAAGAAAGAAAAAAGGGAGGAAAAGGGTGTAATAAGGAATCTGGGATGACTGAACCTGTTCTAAAAGTCCAATGCTTGTGTCAAAGTCAGAATTTTGATGTACAGAAGTTCCTGATATTTGTTCATAGTCAGAATTTTGGGATTGCCCTACTTAGCATACGAGTGTTCTCCTTTCCCTTTGTTGTGATTGGGTGTCTCAGGACTGTGCTAGTAGATATTTAATGCTTTTAGTTCTTTTTGCTTCTCTGGCTTGTTTTTGGTCCTTGGGGCCCTTGCATTTGCAGCCCATGAAGTATTCATAGCATCAGAATATTGTCTCAACCCTAAATGAAACTTGAATTATTTACTTCCAAATGTGTCTCCCAACAGTCTAATGACCATAATGACTGTGTAAGCAATATGACAGCAAGGCACATGCTCTGATTTGAATGGAAATATTTGTGGATATGATTCTAGAGCTTTCTGTTTATTAAAGAAAACCCCTTTTTTAATTCTTAAGGCTAATTTTCTGGCTTACATTGCTATAATAATACATTCAAAAGAAGCACCAAACAAGCTGTGATAATTGAAAATGCCCACATCTAACCCAATTTAATTTATTGTGCTAGAATATATCTAGTCATATGGGCTTGTTTTCTGTACAGATGCTTGTTTAAAAAAAACTGGACAGGAGCTCTGGTTTGCATTATGTGAGATGTAGAACTAGTTTAGAAGTAAATTCCACTTTAGGGAATATGTAATTATTTATTAATTAGATTAGCATTGTACATTGTGTCTTGAAGCTATCTCGAGAACTATAGGAACATCTGTTGTACCGTGATTTTGGAGGCTTGTGAGGTTGTTTCCCCAAACGCCTTGACAACAGCAGTTTGACATTCTTGGAATAGGTAGTGCCACAGTTCTGCAGTCACCATAGGGATTTTTCAGCTTGGCTTCATGTTGGTAAATTGATACTCTCAAGTGCATTCGAGGTGCTCTTTTTTTAGAGGTTCTTTTTTTTTTTCATTGAGTCTTGGCTTTTCTCTTTCCTCATTTAGCGAAATAGTGACAACTGCCACTTTCCACCTTCGAACAGTATTATTAGTGCTCTTATAAATAGAAAACCACTTTCCAGGTGGGCCTGGAAGCCATTTTGTACACATGGCCTATTTAAATAGCCAGGGCTTCGCATGATAAATGGGCAAGTTTTCAGGCAATTTAGGTAGGCTTTCCAATCACATCTCTCCATTTCCTGTCTAAACAACTTCTTCCATGTCCACAGCATGTTTATGCAACATTGAATAAAACTTCTAATGGGAAATTTCTTCCAGGTGACCTCCCTGAGAGGCTGTGTTATGAAGAAATCTTAAGAAACCCAACTCTGATGAAATTGCCTCCCTTGAGAATATTACTTGGTGCCGAAACAAGAGACGGAATTCAGTTATTTCTGGTTCTTGAATAAATGAATTCTGTTGCTTTTTGTGTAGGTGCCAGAAGAAATTAACCCCTTCAGAAGGTCCAATCTCAGTTGGAAATTGAACTTTGCATTTCTTTTGAGTTAGGAGAACCCTGGATAAGAGAATGTTAAATTGTTTTTCTTTGAACATTAAACAACTTGGAATTGGTTCTGATATCCTTCTGTCTTTTATAGATATGTATTTGCAAGGCTTTTCTGTCTTTACATTTAATTTTCTCTAGGCTATGATTAGCCAATAACCTGCAACTTTGTATTGCATGTGGATGGATACTAATAAATCTTTTTTTTTTTAACTTTTCCAGCACTTTTGGAGAAATCAATCAGTAGGAGGCGGGACTCTGAAGCCATACAGAAGGCCAAAATTCTTTATTCATCTTGTATGAATGAAAGTGAGTAATAAAGAAAACAAGATATTTACCACTCTTACCCTTCCAAATTCTATTTTTTTTTGTTTAAAGATATGGTTTAAAGGAAAAGAGAACTCAAAATTTTCTTAATGTTTATATGTTTTGTTTAAGGAAGGGAACATGGTTAGTGACAGGATTTTGATTAATCTTCTTTAGTTACTCTTTTATGGTTGGCTTGGTGAATAAAATAATTTTATTTCTACAATATGGATTATTTGGGTGTCATTTCTTCTATGAGACACTTGGATAGGGCAGAAGTAAAGGCCTCTCTGTACCTCATACAAAAACAAGAATGCAAAGGCCAGGCCTTTTCATATCTGAGGATACTCAGCAAGAGTATATGTGAGAGAATTCATATGTTCCACATGACCTCCTGGAACCTAGAGAAATCTAGATTCCGAGACTTCTTCGTTTAGCTTAACCCAAATCTTTGTTGAGAGCCTCCCACCTATCTCTTGGCATCATGCATCTCAATGGAGTTGGAAAAGATGCCTGCCTTTCTCATCTGCTGTCTCAAGTCTACTGAGGAAGAAGACAGTGGTTCTGGGAAGCATGTGCTCTGGGCTAAGATTTGAGATATCACTTGGTAAACAAGAAGAGGGCAGTAAAAGAACAGATTTCTGAAGCATTACTTTATTTCACCAGGGAGTAGCTAGCTTTCTTAAGTCATTTCCTTTTGTTAGTTGTCCTTAGTAAGTACCAGCACGTATGCTCAGCCTAACTTCATTCACTGGGGTCAATGTAGTGAGCCCATGTTCTATTGTAGGAAAAACCCAGCAGGTTTCTCTGTCAGCTTTTCTGGCAAAAACATCAGATTTAGAGACTCACATTAAGTGTGAGTTGTAGTTGGGTTTGTCTCTGTGGTTATGCTCAATCCACCCCACATCATCCATCCTCTTCCTAACAGCTGAAATTTCTAATTGAGGCCTTACAGGATATCCTATTCATAAAATTCCCTTAATTTGTATTCTTGTTTGATGATCTTGTGTGCGATTCTAACTCTCCCTTCATAACTGCTCCCTTTCAGAAGCTATTGAAAAAGCAGATGCCAAACCACTGCTCCATATCCTGCGGCATTCACCTTTCCGCTGGCCCGTGCTTGAAGCAAATATTGGTCCTGAAGGAGTTTGGTCAGAGAGAAAATTCAGCCTTTTGCACACACTGGCAACATTCCGTGGTCAATACAGCAATTCTGTCTTCATTCGTTTGTATGTGTCCCCTGATGACAAAGCATCCAATGAACACATCTTGAAGGTATAGCCGGAGCTCTGCTCAGTCCAAGATTTGGCTTTTGGGGTGCCTTCCTAAGGAAAGAAATTCATTCTGTCTTAGTGAAGGATCAAATAAAAGTTTGGTCAAACTCATAAACTAGAATATTATCCTAAGTTGTGTAGAATTTAGAGTAGTAGCAGACAAATTTGGCCAGCCTTTTGGGATGTATGTGAGTGAGTTTCAAAGTGAACTGTGATCTGGTCCTCCAATCTCTAATCTGAACAAGGGGCCTTAAAATTCCAGCAAAGAAACAGCTGTGATTCTCCAGCTGTTATCAAAAACTTGCTGAACTCTGCTCTTTCCCTCACCCCCTCATTCCCCTGACAGAGAATAGAATGCATGGATGATTTCTTACTCCCCTTTCATGAACGTCTTTTTGAATACACGCCTACATCCTCATTGTCAAGTTCAATCTTAATTTCTCCTTTTTTCAAAAGATCAAACAGAACTTGTTCTAAGTAGCTGATTCCATTTTCTGTTGAAAGAGTAAGACTCTTTTCCATGAAGGATTGAGTCCCATGGCCATGCCCTAAGGAAGATCTCAAGGTTAAAACCAGGAGGCTGCCAGAAAGCCTAATAACAACAGAATTATTAATGAAAGAGTTTTGTGAGGATTTGAATGCCATTTTTGAAATCACTCTGTGTTTTGTCTTGCTGTTTTTTGCTTTCACACTTACGTTGACTAATAATGTTATTGAACAATTGACCTGCCTAATTTTGTTCTTTGTTGAGCTAGAGAATTAATGGCATATTGGTATTCAAGTTGTAGAATTTATGGAAGCATTAGAGTGTATAAACCTTACCTGATACAACTCAAGTTTTTGAAATCCAAACTCTGGAGTTGATCTTGCATTCCACCAGAGGGTGGCAATTGTTTTCTGTGAAAGGCCAAATACTGCATATTTTCAGCTTTGTAGGTTGTCTAGTCTTTGTTGCAAGAACTCAACTTTGCTACTGTACTTATGTGAACAGCCTTAGACATTGAGTGGGTGGCTATGTGTGGGCTGGTCCACTGGCTATAGTTTTCTGACTGCTAGACCATGAAAGTATCAATAAAAATCCTTAGTCATTGAATGCATTCTCACCTACCCAGAAGGAAGGTCTCAGTTGTAGAGTCAACTGTGTTTCCATGTTGGGTGATGAAGTGATGATATGGTATTGAGCTATCTTCTGATGCTATCAGGATATGTGGTATGTGAGATGCAGTGGTGGGAGGACCCATTGGATGTCTCTTCCACATTGATAGATTTTCTAAAATTGGGTTTTAAGACCATCAATCTCAATTCCAGAACTGTTAGGATATTCTTTCAAATACGTTAGGTAGTGTTTGAAGTAAGTTGGAAACTGTCTTTCAAACTTAAGTTTATGCATGCTATTGGCCAATAGGAGATCTTGACTTATAGATAAATAATGCAGATGGTAACCATTTTACTTTCACCATTCTTGGATATAGGCAAATTTCCTTAGGCATGTTATTATGTCAAATAATATACATAAAAGTAAAAAGAATAGAACATCTGACATCTCTGGAGCTATCAACCGAGCTTTATTACTCTCAACTTTGTCTTATTCTTGTTTTTTTAAATGCCTCCATTTTGAAAGAGGAGGTTATAGCATTTTATATCACAATGAAATATAATACCATTGTATTGAGAATGCTTCAGTGCTAGTCTAATAACAAGGGCACTCATCAGAACCACAAGAGTAATTGTAATTCCACAATTAACATCTGATACATTGTTAATTTTCTGTTATCCTGATTGGCTCAGACATACCTTTTTAATTTAAGAATTTAATTCTTTGTGGTGTTGGGGGTGCAATCCAGAGCCTTGAGCAGGCTAATCAAATACTCAACCACTGAGCTACACCCTTAGCTTTCAAACATAACCTTAAAAGAAACCTCAAACCAAAAACAGTTGATCTTTGATTTGGTCTCCAATATTCTAACCTGCAAGTATCCCTTCCTACTGTTCTTTTAGCATCACATTTATTTGTTGAAGGTCTATAAGATCTTTCCACATTCTGGATTTGTCTGCCATCAGAGTAGTCTTGCAATGGATGAGATAAAGTTCTTGCATATAGGGGCATCAGCTGAAAAACTGGAAAAATAATAGAAAGTTACCATTTAAAAAATACCTGATGAAATGAGAGGTCTGGGTAACTGTCATCAATAGCTACTAAAATAATTAAGTGAAGGGGGCTGAGGAGATAGTTCAGTGGAATAAGTGCTTCCCTGGCAAACACAAGGGCTTGAGTTTGATCCTTGGTTCCGCTAAAAAAAATAATAATTAAATGAAACTTTGGGAAATTCTTAGTAGAGACATCAGCCTGATACCACCCTAACCCAGATATCCATGTTAGTCTTATTATAAGTGGGATGACCATATAGTTTGTGCTTCTTAATACCAGTAGGAAGTACATACTGTCACCAGTGATACTGTGCCAAAAAAAAATGAAAAGAAAAACTGAACTTGAATATAATCAAGCCTCCTGTACTAATATTTGCTTTCAGCAAACATTATAGGATAGACAGTCATGGTAATAGCTTGCTTTTCACAATTAATATTCAATTACCATGATCCTAGAAACACTAAATTGTCAATAATAGAAACTTTCCAAATGTAAGGAGGTACTCATGTTCTTATGATCGCTCTCCTTTGCCAGATGGCAGCAGCTTGCTCCAATCTGAAGTGTTTGAAGATTGCTTGACATTTGAGTGTAACACACACTTGCATTAGTGCTGTTGCTGTTTGTGCCATTTTATGTGGGGGAGTATTTACACATCTGAATTCACCATCTCCCCCCCCAACAAAACAGTTACAGCCATGTTAACTAATCATACAGTCATGTATCAGTCATGATAGTTATAAGAAGTCCAACCACTTGTCCACAGATGGTAGCAGATGCTTTATTCTGAGCTTCATGTAAAAAACAGTATATTGGTTGTTGTGAAAGTTGTAGCATTTGTGTGTGCATGGCTTTTTAAAAAACAGTTTAAAAGAAGTCACAAATGTGAAAAACAAAATTTGATTCAGTGAACGTTTGCATACCCTGAACCACTTTTGGATTTTGTGGACTACAGTTTAGTTTATAGGGGTTTTGTTTGTTTGTTTGTTTTTGTTTTTTGGCAGAACCAGGGATTGAACTCAGGCCCTTGTGTGGACTACAGTTTAAAAACCACTAGTGTACTGGCAAGACTAAGTTCTGATATTAAAGCCATTAGGTTCTCAGGTTAGTTTTATGATTAGTCACTAAATACCTTTGCCTCATTAAAAAAAATCTTTTATGTATTTATTTGGTACAGGGTCTCACTATGCAGCTCAGAATCGTAGTGATCCTCCTGTCTCAGCCTCCCCAGTGCTAGAATTACAGGTGTGCACCACCATGCCCAGTTTCGGTGGCCTGCAGGGCATGGCATGCCCAGGAACCCAGGGCTGGCATGACATACAGCACTGGGGATTGAACCCTGGTCCTTGTGCTTGCCAGGCAGGCACTTAGACCACTAAGCTATCTCCCTGGCCCTTTTGTCCAAATTGCTCCACCTCTCTGAGTCTCACTTTCCCCATGTGTAAGGACAGGTAAGTTAGAATTTACTTTTCATCATTGCTATGAGATACAAATGACTTGAATTTTATGAGTTTCCATAGTACACACTGGTACACAGTGGCACATGACAAAAGACTTCCTTCTATTGAAGAATGACCCAGCATCAAGTCAGGACCAGTTGGAGAACACTTCTTTTTAATTTGTGTACCAGGCCTGCCTCTCAGACCTCAAATTTGGTTGTGCTAGAGTGGGCATTTTCTTTAGGTAATCTAATCTTTGACCCTGGGCTCGCACTCCACCTTTTGCTGGGAACCTGATCCTGGATCTAGACATTGCACACTCCGTTTACTGGGAACCTGATCCTGCATCTAGATACTGCACACCCCTTTCTGGCTGTCCTATTTCTCAACCTTCTCCTGGGATAAGCACAGTGTCCAGTATTTAGTGTTTGGAGTGCTGGGGATGGAGCTCAGCAGCACAGTACCTGCTGGGCAAGCACAAGGTCCTGAGTTTGATTCCTGATACCAAACAAAACAGAAGAAAACACCCCCCAAAACCAAAATGCAAGAAAAAATTCAGTGTTTTTGTGTTTTAATTCTAATTTATGCTTTCTTTTAAAAAAAGAAAAATGCCACTCTGAATTTCTTCAGGTGTGCTTTTCAGATTCTGGGGCTCAGGGCTGCTTCTTGCTCTCAGATACTGCTACATTTTGGAGGCACTGACTCATTATTTTGCACATGACAACTGTAGACTTCTTTTGCTGCCTGGAAGAACCTCTTTGTACTCTAGGAGAAGTTCTCTCACCTCAGACTTTCTTTTCTCAGTGCATTTAGCCTTTTTCCATCAAATTCTATTTCTCCATGTGTCCTTAGCTGTCCTAATCTCACAAACCCAAGTTTTTAAATAATGATCTCCTTTAGGACAGAGACTACACTATCACCATACTCCTGGGTGCACATATGGTACCTGTGGGTGAAGAGAAAGGCACCTATTCCAATGAGCAGATACATCCTCATCCCAAGGATGTGCTGTTTGGCCATATAGTGGAGCCTTAGCAGAACTCTCCTGTCACAAGATGGTCCAGAATTTACTATAGACTTAAATGTTAGAAAGCAACACAAAAAAACCAGAAAATGAGTGTTCCTGAAACACTGCCTTGCTACATGTGTTTGGATGTATTTTATGCCAGAAGAGAACAAGGAGAAAGATTTTAGGGATAATAAAATATTTGAATACATGTTATGTGTGCTTGGTTGGCCAAGGTCACCTAGTATAAAACAACAATGTAAAGCAATCCTCACTGAGGAGCCTACCATTTTCTAGTTCTTAGAAAAATTCACAATGACAAGAAAAGTCTCCATTGGAAATGAGGTTTTTATAATTTCCTTCTCTTTTGTTTTTATACACCATAACCTGTCACGTGCTTTTGTATTACT